CGGGGGCCGCCTGCTGAGCTGTTGCACTGCGGTCGTCTTCGTTACACACAAACTTTTATATGCGACGCTGTGAAAAAATGTGTGCACGCATTACTCAGCTCTGCTCCTCTTCCAGTGTGATAACTGAAGAACTTTTAATACCTTGATCAGCTTGTTTCCCCCCTCTAAGAATAAACTAAACTAAAAAGTCGACAGACGGGAGCAAAGAGAGAGTGTGTGGGGATGGTAAAGGAGGTGACTGCCCTCTCCAAAGGATTTTCCACCATTTCCCATCACGTTCTTCTGCTGAAAAGCCTCCCACCGGTCTCCAAATTTCAGAAACTATTACAAATATTAAAGGCTTGGGTTTTTCCTAATAAAAAATTATAAAGTTTGAAATACATCAGAGGGTGAAGGTGGCCACCTACCACTTCAACGCACTGGAGTGCGGACTTCAAGCAAACAGAAGATAACGTGCAGATGTGGAACACAACCAGCAAAGGCAGTTCAGCGCAACTAGTGCAGCACTGGGCAATCGAGCTTCTTTATACATTTTATAGACTAGTCCAAGGTAAATGACATGAATACTCACCCGGAAGGACTACTGGGTAATCGGACAACCACGTTCAAGAAAGGAAAAAGCAACTGATACTTTAAACAAAATACTCTTTTATTAGAGTATTTTTGATTAAACATACAGAACTCGATTGCTATTTAAAATTTTGATCAGTTTTTCCCTCTAGAGGATGGTAACGCCATCTCAGTGCATTTTATATGGAAGCATCGTACCTCTCAAGTGTCTAGCTCATAAATCAGAGCAACACTGCACACACTCAGTGTGCAAACAGAAGGAAATGCTGTAATGCAGTTAACATACAAAAAATGCATGGCCAATAAACACAGTCAGCTCTATGGCCAGTGATCTGAAGATAAGCATTACATAGAGAAGTCCGCTTAGCAGTACAAGAATGAGAAAGAAAACATAGTTCCTGACCATGAAAACAGTGTTGGTAACAGAGTCAATTCGTACAAGCCCTATGCGTTCCTTCACAAGTACTTCAAATTTAGCCACTGGTTTGGAAGATTTTCCAAAGTGTCCATCGTGCTGGGGGCAGGGATGCAGAAGTCCCACTGGAAAAGGTGATGGAAGGAGTGATTCTACAGCCCTCACACACCTCCAAAAGTCACATGCATCACAGGCAGCCTGGTGAAGTGCTTACATGTCGCTGAGACCATCTGCTGCTGACTGGCTCGTACACCAGGTTCTTGGCACCTATTTGTTTCTCTATCAGCACAAGTAAAACTGAGCTCTTATTTTACACACAAAACAACATTAACAAAGCAGCACATGTAGGTAGCTACACCCCTGCTGGTGTCAGTTCCTTAAGTATACCCTGTAACTACCATTATTATCAGACTTCAAATAGCCAAGCTTTACATTTTGTTTACATCCACATACAAATACTACAGCTAAGACCTGTGCCTTTTCATACTGCACCAATGTTAAACAAAGCCTAAGCAATCGTCAGCTTTTAATTATGCAAAGTAAGTTTCACAGATGCTTTAAGAACTGAACAAAAATATACTTAAGAAGTATGTTTGGTTGAGTTTATCCCTGCATGTGGTACAATCAAACCTGGTTACCTGGCACTCATCAGGTGTCTCATGATGGAATGTCTAATGGAAGATTTCTTCAAATGAAAAATCCAGACAATTTGAGAGGTATGCAGAAAACTTGTCTTAAATATTTGAAGCTACATGTGCAATCTTACAGAACACAAGCTACAGTTACAGACATAACATTAAATCTTAGTAACCAATAGTGCATAAGAACATAAAAACAGACAGTGAACTCACAGTTCAGACAGTGACTTCCAAAAAAGTCACATCTCAGCTGCACTGTGTGGAAGGAAACAAAATTAAAAAATAAAATTATTCTTAGGCAAGTTAACACAAAGTTTTAATCTGTTTTATTTTATATATATATACTATGTATAAAATAAATTAAAAAGGGGAAGGAGGAAATAGCCTTGTATATGCTTCAAATTGACACAGACCAGTAGTTCCATAAATGAACATTTTACCATCTTTGTGGTAAAAAGTTGACATAAAAGTTCAAAACCATACAATACTTATAAATAGGAAGAGTTCAAAAGATATTTTTTTTAAAAATGGAATTTAAACATCATTTTCCCTTCCCCTACAATACACTTTAGTTTTGTATGTCATAGCATCAATACATTTACAGAGTATTTGAATATCACATCCCCTCAAGAATTGATAACAAAGCAGGTAAAAGTGCTAGCGTTGTTAAAATTTGGGACTTCTCCCAAAGAACTCTACCTGCTCCTCAGCCTTCTCCTGAAATGAAGGCTATCAACATTCATCACCCAGTCTGAGGTATGGGCTGAAGAAAAACCTGCCACTGGCACTCCCCACCCTGCTTTGCCTCTGCTAAAACATAGCAACAACCTATTGATCTGGTAATTGACAACTGTGGTGCACAACCTCTTACCTCCATTCAGCTTGGATATAATTTAATCACGATATAAAAAAAGTTATTTTGAAACACAGTATTAATGCTTAACTTCTTAAAAAAAAAATAAAACAAAAAACCCAATAACTTTAAATCTTCTTTGAAACCATGTTTAAATGTTCTTGTTTCAGATTTAAAGCTTCACATAAACACCGGACAGAAGGACGACAATTTTAAACCAAGAGAGCACCTAAAAACATACCATAGGTAAAAATGAAATCAATCATCTCTCCACTTCATGAAAAATGTAGGAACCCTGTCAGCAACAGTAATATACTCAGAACGAACAAGGTGAAAAGGAGCATCTAGAATACTCAAGAGGCTTGCTACGCTACTTCTCTTTATTGCCCATTCTCTCATTTGTATGGATGGCCACTGCATGACAAGATGCCTGTGATAGTTCTCTCGTCTTCCCTTCACCACTGCTGCCAGCTGAAGTCGTCATTGCTGCCAAAGACCAAGAAAAATCCTAGGATGGTGGCAAAGATGACCGTATTCCCCGTAAGAACAAGCGCACACGCGCCCCAGTAGATCTGTGAACAAGGGGAATTTTGTTAGACATGTTTTGAACCGAATGCTGACAAGAAAAAAAGTAATGTTTTAATATCACATTCTAGACAAAGTTCAGCAACAGGTCCATGATGCAAGAAGGTGGCATCTCTTTATTTGGGGTTACACCAAGAAGGCTGGGTTCACCCAGAATGACTCAACCAATTCACATCTAGCCAAGCAGCACTGCAAGTTTCTTTCAGCCATGCTCAAAGTGCTGGTTAGCAGGCAGAGCTGTTTCACTGCAGCATCCAAGAATAGTAAAGTAAGGCTAGGTAACAGCATCAAACACATCTGCAGCCCAGCTAGACCTGCTGACCATGCTGTAAGATGTTTTTTTAAGCAGACACTCAAGAATGAAATACCTGCAGATATCATAGAAATGTTTGGGTTGGAAGAGATCTTCAAAAGCTCATCTAGTTCCAACCCCCTGCCATGAGCAGGGACACCTTCTACTAGAGCAGGTCACTCAAAGCCCCATCCAGCCTGGCCTCGAACACTTATATAGTAGTATCCCAGTAACTAAAAGGAGGTGACTGTTTTCCAAGGAGAGTAAGTGGATTACTCAAAGGCATTCAAACTGACCACCTGAGCTGCTCCTGCCTGAAGAGATTTTGTGAAAGAGCACTCCATGATTTTTGGACTTAGTAGTGGTCTCTGAAATTCACACAAACAAGGTCATCTTTTAAAGGATTTCAGTGAAAAGCCATATATTGGGAAAGATGTAATGACAACTCCAAAGTTAAAAAAAATAACACCCATACAACCTACAGTGAGTGCAAAAAAGAATTGTTTATTCATGCTGCTTTAGCCCAACTGCCTTCATTTGAAGTTCCACAAACTGCCTTCACAGTATTCTATACACTTTATGTTTGTTTATTTGCCTGTTCAGTTTCCGCACCATTTTCTAGCCCATTTTCTCTGCACTGCATACAGGCTGTTAGGGTTTAATCAATGGCCACATGAAGCTATTGGCAATCTCGACATTCTGCCATGCTTCTGGTTTGAGTATTAGTTTTTCTTGCAGGCAAGAAATCCTGTTCTGTTTCCACAGCAAGCATCTTAAGTATGCATTTATAAGAACCGCTTAGTGCACGAGAGCTCTACGTTCAGTAATAAAAGAACAGAACAAAGTTTTCTAAGAAAAACAAAATAAAAAGAATAGACCGAAATATTACTAACCAGTTCTGCTCTGGCAAACACGATTGGTAGCCCAAATGCTGAGACAACAATGCCTGTTGTAAGAAATATTGCTAGCTCCTTGCAGGCATTACTTGTAGCATCAGTGTCATCTACTAATCTTCTTGCTATGCAGTATGGGATAGGAGACAGGATGTAAAAAAACAGAACAAAAAGTGGCCAGTACTGACTGAAAAAGAAAGGAGAAGAAAAGTTAAGGTTAACTTGATTTACTTCACATTCTTCCTAAGAATCAGTGCAAGACATTTTCCCTATCCAGCACCCACATTCAGGACAGGCAGGCACATGCCCAGAGAAAGCAAATCCTCTTTGGAACCAGCTGACATTAACCACTTTGTGAGCGGCTTCAGCTGACCTCAGCAGCAGCAGAGAGCTCACTAAGAGGATATTCACAAAGCATGACTTCACTAAGCAAGCCTACATCTAACGCCACCTCACAACATGAGCTGAGCTCTGAAGTTTAACCTGCCAGCTTTTAGTGCGCATCCACGGCACAGAGCACTGTTCTCAGCCAACAATCAGCTGCCATGGGGCACCAAGGCTTTTCTTTAATCTGAATGTAGCCAACAAAACCCTACAAAAACTGCACCATCACATTTGGCAATGTTTTCTTTCTTTGCTTGCAGCTCGCCATACCAATGCAGCTGCCCACTGTTTCAGTAAAACCTCATGGCATTGTTTGGAGTGTGGCTGTATAACTGCATAATGATCTCCTTACTAAAGGGACTGTGCCACCAGCCCTGGTTTTGGAGCATAAGCAAGCTGGTGTAAAAAAACCAAGTCATATGTGTAGAGAACTGCAATGCACAACCACTAACATGGCTACTAACAGGATATTTAACATTAAATAAGTCAATTTAAAAGATTTTATGTTAAAGTCAGCATTCACTTGCAAAGGGTCAAAGCCGTAGGTCTAACTTTCTGAATTTCTAGTCTACTACTCTGTATCTCTTGGCAAGAGGGAGACGGCAATGAGCAGACCAGAAGCGCACACAGTTATTGCAGAGGCTGCATTACAAAGCATGGTGCAGTGCCCACCTGATAGTCACTGACAGCCCCAAGTAGGCAGAGAAAGGGCAAACACTTCCCCAATAATACACACTTGTTATCTACGTTGGGAGAAGCCGTCTGCCTGTCAACACCAGAGGGACAACACTGGGGACGTGTTAGGGCAATGCATTCGTTAGCAGTTTGCAGCCAGGCCTGCTAAAACTTAATTTCTGTTGCCATCACTTTTACAATGAAATAACCCTGGATGGTTTTGGGTTTTTTTCTTTTTTTTTTTTTTTTAAGCCAAAAAAAACCCAAATCCCTCCCACCCACAGAGGACCATAATTAACGACAGCAAAACTATTCCACAGTTACAGGCATGCAAAAAGATACGAGGAATAGGAAGAGAGTGCACGTTACTTGTACTGGGGAAGGGCACATCCGAGCATCAGGAACATCAGTCCGACCGCTCCCCCGAAGGACAGACTAATCAAGGCTACAGCGGGAACACAAACCGACACAGGTGAAGGGTCCCGCCCG